TCATACAAATTTTTTTAAACTCCCTTTTGAGGCCCTTGCGGTTCCCCATTTGATGCCCTTGTCTGAACGCTTCCTTTTCTATTCATTTAAATTTACGTTTCTCAACTTCCAAAGCAAGAAATACGTACCCCCGCTCGCTTAGTGGGGGCGGTAGATTTGCGCTTTTACTAGTTCATTTTCACTAATAATAGGACTTACTTAGGTGAGACATGTAACGAACTTGTAGAACTGGGGCATGGCGCGAGTGAGCACCTTGCTTACAAATCTTCACATGGTGGTCTACGAAACCTTCACTAAGGGCCGCTTGTTGCCACCATCAAGCCGAGCTTCTGATCACTCCCACCGACGACCAGTCGTCCATTCTTCGATTCGCCATTTCTTCGCGGTGATCGGACTTTAAACCGAAAAATAATAAGAATTTGTGGTGTCAGAACTGAACAGGGGTTGCTGCAGTTTCACTTTTCATCGAAGATTTCTTTCTACACACCGCTCCCGCTTGGCTATTTTGGCAGTTCCATAACGTACTTTAATCGGATATACCAGTGCTAGTGAGCGATTCGTTAGCGATCAGCAGAGCAACGTCGCTCACGCGGCAATCCCAAGTGCAGGTGGGGAGTAGGGGTCCGTATTTAGTTGCTGGAAGTTGAGAGACGGGTCATATTTGCCCTCGAGAAAACTAGCCCTGATTACGGTTGTTGAATTTTCTGTTTTTTGCCTCCGCTGGAATATCCTCCGCCCACGCGCTCGACGGGCAGTTTTTTTTGAGTGGTGGAACCTTTGCAAAAAAAGCCCGAAAAACTGGTAGCAAGTGGACGAAATCTAGGTAATTCTGATAGGAAAAAGAGAAGGACCACTGCTAACAGCGCTCACGTATTTTGATGCATTGTTTATGCAAAGCTGAAACTTCTTCTTCTCTGTCCTTCTTTATTTTTATTCCGCTACTTACATAACTTACTATTATCTGCTCGTCTATTTGTGGAACACATGCGGATACACCCACCGTGTGCTGCATGTATGATAACAATCTTTCCATAAGAAAGTGGTTAATGCACCGACGAGAATACAGAGCTGTTTGGACAGCGGTTTAATGCACAGCATGGGCGTCCCATTGTAAATAATAGCCTAATGGCGGATCGATAGGAATGCACTTCCGCTTGACATGCTAAGAAAGCGTTTTCCATTTTGAAACTGCCCTATGAAAGAACTGTGGACGAGGTTGCTTGGGTGGGGCGGGCTAGTTTCTCCTATAGAACATGCCTTCCCTGATTGCTTTCCCCTGTTTGCAACTCCCGCTGTAATTTTTCATAAAGTTACCGCCAAAAAAATGGACACGTTACATTTGGTAATTGCCCACAGGGCCCATTAAGCTGACCATGAAATGGAAATGGTGTTTTTGGTAATGTAATTTACAGAAAACCATTCAAGAAAAATCCCTTACATCCCAAGCTAGGGCCGTAGAAGCCGCGGCCTGAATTACTTTTTTCCCAGAATACGGCTGTATGATTAGCCGTATAATTAGCCATTACGGTTATGCGAAATGGACCAGGGACTGTGTTTTCTGACTGAGAGAGAGGGTCTTTTGAGCTCTAGATAACGATTTTCCGGTTGTTGATTCTCCCCGTTCACGCGCGTTTGCTTCCTAGTCAGCAAATGCCGACTACTAAACCTGATGCTAAATAACTAACAAATCAGCAGTATTGTGAAGTTTAGCCCACCGCGCTCCCAAGCGAGCGGACGCAGATAAAGGCTGCAAGTAAAGTTCCACAGAGGGACATTTTAAATCAGGGGAAGTGCAGTTCCGGGCTCTAACCTAGTTAGGGTGAGGGGTGGGGACACCACAATGCGATTATTTCCCCTCTGTGGAACCCCATGGCGATTCTTATCGTTTAGGCTCTGCTAAGCACAGTCCGTGAAGAGGAAATGGACATAAAGGGGCTAAAAGTGCCTCAAATCGGCAGGAACGAAAGGCACACTACCAAACTAAAATAGGCACTAGTTTACGATTTGCCCTTCTTGTATAATTTAGGACTTGCTCAATGGACACAAATCTGTTTGTATTCGTGGAAAGCGAGCGTTATCGGAAATGTCACTGTAGTTCAGGGGGGTCAAGGGATTGTCGCGCTCGTTTCTTTTTGTTTTCGTTTCTGAGCCGAGATAATGGTCTTCCCCCACCAAGTCAGCCTTTGATACAGATGGAAACAAGAGTTTTTTTTATGATGAAATAACTCATATATTCTTACAAAGTGAACATTGATCAGTCTCCAATTTCAGTTTATAATTTCGGCACGTACTGCATGGTTCATACAGGAGTTCCCTTCCTTTGCGATACCTGTTATATCCTGAGGGATCGAATTTTCCAGGACACTGAGGTTGTTTGAGCGCTTTCATCATCCACTACTTTAACAGGTATTTTCTTTTCTTCCAAATTCTTGGGGAATGGTCCTTCTGATTAGATGTTGAAACCACCGCCAAGATATTACCAATACTTATTCCTGGGAATGCTTTGAAATTGCTCTCTGTGCTCTCTTAGGGTTAATAGAGAGAGTGGAGAGGGGAGGGGGGGGGATGTGAGAGTGTTCAGATTTCACGACGAGACGCGTAGACGCAGTGTAACGCGCTACTGTTTGCAAAGCGCTCTAACAAGGCTATTGCATCTATACGTGTGCGCCATAGCATACAGCACCTTTTTTTTAACCTTCTCCGCCTCAAACAACCCCTCCTAACTAGATCTCTGCGGCTGCATGTGTATGGCTAGGTCGTCTTCTTGGCTATTTGCGTGCTTGAACGTGTTTTATAATAGATTCCATGGTCACTGAAGAAGCAGAACTCGTCCGGCTACTTGATCTTCCTATTGAAGCGCTGAGCATTTTCTTGGTTGAGGAGGCCAAAAATGGGCTAATACGCAACCTGCGTTAGTCCAACCGCTGCCGCCTGTCGCTATTAGACGGCATTATTTAGGGCATTCATCATGATGTGCATCCGAAACATATCTGAGCATAGTATGACAACAATCACCAAAATCAGAGCCTCGGAAGAATAGATCAAGATTACCGCAATTTCCCTTTTCCTTCTCACATTGCAGCCATAATTCACGAAGGCAGAACAAGTCGGGCGATGTTCGGCTATAAGAGGGCGTTTGCCACTTTCACTTGTTCCTCTTGCTGGTTAACGCTGAATGAAAGGTAAAACTCTTGTGAAGCTGCGGCATGGTCTAATGAGCAACCTACAGCTTTCGCTCTCTGTTGTTTGTTGTGAATGGAAGTAAACTCCTATGAAGCTTGCGAAATAGCGCGAATGAGGCCGACTTTGACCATCGCCGAACTCGGTGCCCTCCCCCCCCTCGACTAGGTCCGAGCGAAGTTGTCCACTAAGCTTTGTTTGCGGTATTAGTGATTCTGCTTCTTTCCTCTGTAGATCCGATTTTGTCTTCTCTTGTCCCTTCTTGTTCTTTGTCCGGCTTATTAGTGGATTGCTATCAGGGCACGTCCCGCGCTGAAGAATTTCCAGCGTAGGAAGGTCGTATCTCATCTGAGAGGATATTTTTGTAGTTAGCTTTTCCCTGTTTTACACGCACTGCAAATTCTTCCCTTCCGCTCCCCCCGGCCTGGGCACAATCGTTTTGGGGAATACGCATAGGGGCTAGAGAAACTTATTTATGACTAGTTGATTTTTCTCGCATTTATGGACGTTTGTTAAAGGGATGTGGGGTCGTATTTGATCATTTTTCGGAGGGGGGGTCGTACCAACTCCCAAAAAGGGGGGTCGTATAGAGTCGACTAAAAACCCCAACCAGTGATGTGCCCTGCCCCCGACGGCAAAATTGGGAAAAGCTGAAAATGCTCGGAGAGATACACGAGAAAACTGAAAAAATAGGTAGGAATGCAGCCGAAAACTTAAGAGATTATAGGTCAACCCATGGGGAAGAGGGTCGTTTTAGAGGAGGAAATTCCTGAAAAAAAAACTGAAAAAATGGTAGCAAGTAGCGAAAACTTTAAAAGATTGTAGGTGGCATAAGGAGGGTCGTACCAGACGAGGAAATTCGGGGGTGTCACACTTTGCAAAAATTTCCACCAGTGACAGGAAGTGCCTCTGATTACAATTATAGATCTTCTTAGTTCATTGTTTGATATAGAGAATTGCCGATTTTCATGGTCTATGTGCACTTTGCCGCGTTTTACTTACGCATGAAAGAAACTAAACGCATGAAAGAAAATAACTCAAATAGTAGCGAGAGTGCGTTCTACGCAATCCTTCATTTTTTGAAAATTATTGGGTTTGGTGGTTCGGACGAGTTATCCGGCCTGGATCACGCTTCATTTGCCGTGTTATGACGTGACCATATCCTTGTCCTGACACGTTTCCACCTGGCAAGAATAATTCGACCATGACCACGTTGAAACATGTATTATCTCGTTTTGAAAGCGGAAGAGTTCGTTTCCAGTGCCGGGAGGGCAAGGCGGCAGTTGTGCGACCAGCTGTCTCGGGGGCAAGTCGACACGTAGGGGGGGGCTGTTCATGTCAACGTTTTTTTTACCTGATGGTAACTAGAAACCACACAAAGGCAGTTTCTGTTGAAGAAGTGCCCCATTTGCAACGATGCCTTGCCTCCATCGTGGCACATGCGGCGCGTGTTTGTCTTGTGACCTTGACGTCGCCAAACCCTGTTATGAGAGTGTGTCATTGACTGCCTAAAAGTTTCCGTTAAGAACCTTCATTTACCCCAATCAAATAAAATCTGGAAATGGTACACCATGGTACATTTGTCTTTCTGCCACTGTATTTTGTATCTGGAACGGTTATTTACAGGTTTGTTGTTGTTTTATGAAGTTTTATGATTGTTTGAAACATATGAATAGCTATTTTTTCTAGGGTAGCTATCATGGCCAATATTACGACCCCAGTGACTTCTTTTCTAACTTCGTGACATATATCGGTAAGATTTTGTGTACAACTTACTATCCTTTCCCCAAAAATATACCTCATGTTTGTATATTTCAGGTATGTGTATGTTTATCATTGGAATGCTTATAAACATACACTCAGATAGTATTCTGCGTAATCTTCGGAAGCCCGGCGAAGTGGGGTATAAGATACCTAGAGGTATGCGAAATCGAAGATTTTGATTGGCAAAAGGCGGAAATTCACCAGTTTTCGACAGTGGTATGACGATGAAATGGCGCTATTCAAATAATAAAATCCCAGAATCAACAAAAAAAATCGATGTACAGTTTTTGCGACCTTTCAGTGCACTTCAGTACAAATATGAGATTCATTTTTTCGTTTTAGTGCTAGCTTTTTATCAAAAGTCGTTCTAAATTGTAATTTTGACAGTTTTTGTATAATTTTTGCGGACTGACTCAGAAGTTCAGGAAAACAGGCAGTTATCAGTGCTCAAAACCTAACGCGGACTAGTTAACTTGGGTAACTAAACCGGTTTACGATATGCCCTATTGTGTACATTCACAGGGAACATTTTTAATTTCCCGCGTACTGTATATCGCCTGCTTTCCTGAACTTACAACCTCGTGATTTGCAGTGGAGGGGAGAGATAATCAAGGGTTTAACCGCGAAGATGACTTCCATTTTTCAACACTGACAAGACAAATGAACGCCATGAATAGTATGAAACTGAGGAAGTCATGGCGATTGATCGCTTCAATTATGAATGCTATATTGGTTACCAGTGTACCCGGGCCTACAAATGAAATTTTAGCATTTTTTTTAGTATTTGGAGTTTTGACAGCTAAATAGTGCCGATAGATGCACGCGATCATGTCGTTTTTTACATGAAAAAAGCGCCTTGTCGTAATCGATGTGGAATGGGTCTCAGTATATCTGTCAACAGCGAAACCTTCCGTCTCCTTCCTTCTTTTTCTTCCTTCTTTCATCCTTCTTCCTTATTTCCTTTCTCTAAATGCTGGACCAGAAGACGCAATGAGGAAACATTTCTGGACTCTCGCAGCGAGAGAGCATCCGGTTGTCAAATGCCTTGTAACCATGTAGAAATGCGCACAATTCTGTTTCGGTGCTTCATTTTCGACAAGGTCCATATCAACCTACGTAAAGGATTATAGGCGGAATGTTCGAATACGTTTCTGGTGCAAACTTTTTTGGCGAAATAGTCGAATGGACAGGTTATGCCATGATGGCAAGATCACTACCAGCCATTGCTTTTGCCACATTCACTGCTTGTAATATTGGACCACGAGCGATACATCATCATCAGTACGTTGATTATGTGCATATATTAGATTTCAAGCACTTAGTGTGCCATATATTTAGATTTCAAGCACTTAGTTGTATATTTATGGAAGTATGAGAGTCTAAGAATGTCCTGGGCATACATGTGTATATCGATAGCGATTATTACCGTAATCATTCGTTCAAATAGAGCGATTGAAGTGTTTGACAGTGTGGCGACAATATTATAGATTTGGGATAGTTGGAGGGTATGAACTTTTGTGCATGGTCCTGTTACGAAACCCTGTGACGCAGACGGATAGAGGGCAGCGGCTGCCAAAGCATCGAAACGTGCAAAAAACGTATGGCGAGCCAGGAAACGGGATTTTTCAAGGGGAGGGGACTCCGGGGTGGGTGAGCTACTTACAGTCGGTGAAAAGCTGGAGTGAGCGAAGTCACAACGGCCATAGAGTGCCATGCGGACGAGAGAGTGCAGAGAAAAAGAGAAGATCGACGCGTTCAAAGGGATTGAGTTCATTGTCGCCATTGTTGTCTGTAGACCCAGGGGTATTGCGGATCCCGAATGGCGCGTAAGATGAATGTGTCGGTACTGTGAATGCACACAACTACCCCTACTGGTAGCCGCGCAACAGGGTCATTCCTCAACAGGAGGGGGGGGGGGGTTGTAGTTGATTTGAGAATTTTGTTTTGTGATAGTTGATTTTTCTAGTTTCACGGACGCTATAATAACGATTGTATATGCTCGTTGTTGGGAGAGGGTTGTCGCATTTCTCTTCTGAGAGAAAGTTGTGACGTTGGAGAAAAAACTCCTCCGGTTGTTGTTTTCGAGGTTTTCCACGTTTCACATTTGATACCGCCTCCCCCTCGACAACAAAATTCTTGGGAAAAGTGGGAAAATTGTCGGGGAATTCCGGAAAAAGTGCTGGGAAGTTGTGAAAATCTTGGGAAGTGGTAGGTAGGGGGAAGGAGCCGCCGCACCTCGCGTTTTCCCGTTGCTTAGCACCCCCCCCCCTCTTCGACGGTTCGATCGTATCAGAGAAGTCGTATCGAGCCATCTCTTGAGGGGGTTGTACGGACTCGATCAAAATCCCCAGCTAATGATTTGCTCTGGCGCAACCTGTCGCCACGGCGTTGGCAGTGGGTAAATTCCGCGCTTTGGACGATAACATGGTTGAGCGAACCCTCTGCGTCCCTTCACTAACTGTTAGGCCTAGAGCACAGACGACCAGCGTCGCATGGAGATAGTGCAAGCAGATAGATGCCAACGGCTGCCAAAGTAATGAAAGGTATGACAGAACAGAAGCGAGCCAAGGGGTGGAATTTCGCGAGGGGGACTTCGAAGAGAGTAAGCCATTTATCGCGGGTGAAAAGTAGAACTGTATGGCCTTACACATGACATTAAACGTCGCCAGACGTGATAGTGAAGAGAAACTTGAGTAACCCGCGACGACTACGCTACCGTCATGTTTCTTTTGTGATATTCGAATTCGGTTGGTTTCAGATGGTACCTGAACAAGTTCCCTGACTATCCAAAAGAACGCAAAGCTGTGATACCTTTCGTTTTATGAATCTCGCTTTGTGAAAGTTACAACATTTCTGCTGCCACATGTTCGCAGACAAACGTACTTCTGTATGTCGATGAAATGGATTCGCAGTATATCGGATAGAACTAACGAACAGGTTCGTAAGGCAGTGGAATGAAAGTGCGTCTAGTTTTGCAAATCAGTTTATTTACCCGTAAAGCTGTGTTCATACTCTGCGTCAGCGTTTGAGCATACAGCAGCATTTGAGCGTTTTGATCGACTAGGAAAGTTCTGGTACCAGTGTAGTGTTTTGAGTGTATGCGAGCTTTTTTAGCGTTCCGCGGATAGTTCAGAACTATTCGCGGGCTGTAGCTGAAAGGTGTGACGTACGCTTAAAACGCCAGATCGATATCGACGCCTTTCTTTAAATTTAGTAACTAACTCTCTAACCTTTTCAGAACATTTCGACAATCTATCGGTGTCAGTCTTAACGCTTTTGAGAAACACCAATTATTCAGCTGCGCTTCTACCGCAAAATTCTTCAGAGA